GTTACTATAAAAATACAACATATACTGTATATATACTGTATATATATTTTTTTGTATTTTACATAACAATTTTGTTTAGATTTCCTATTACTATAGCGTTTGAATTATTATGTAATATTTATATATATATACTTCAAATATATACAATTTACAACAAATACTTTATTAAGTATATATAAAATCTATAAAATAATATGTGTTTTTAATTAATATAAATATTTACAAAATACAGGAAAATGTTTTTATTACAAAAAAACTGTATTATATAGTATTGTATAAATTTAATTTATTATAAAAAAATACTATAGATATTTGTTAATTTGACTTTTAATTAATTTTTTTTATAATTATTTTATAAACAGTATTGTTTATAAAATAATTGCTAAATTAAATTTTTTTTATTTATAATTATTTTGTTAACTTTTATTTGTAGTTGTTTTTATACATTAGAAAACATAGATTTTTAATTAATATTTTTTAGTCTAAAATCTAATTTTTGAAAAAAAAGATTTACTATTATGTGTATTAAATTTCCCATTGAATATACAATAAATTAACTTTATATTTACATAAGTACTAAAAATATATACATATAAATTAAATAATATAGTATTGTTAATGAATCTAAAAACACGTTTTTAAAAACTAATTCAATATAATATTATATAAACTGTTAAACAGTATATAATATTTGTATTAAGTATTATTTTTTTAAATATTTATTTTATAACTCTATATAAATTTATTTATGTATACAGTATTTACATGATTTAGTTGAAGGTTTTATAAATAGTTTTGTTAAATATATAATAATATATATATACTGTATGTCATCAAGTATAAAATTACAAATTATATATATATATATATACTGTATATATTAATATATATATATATATATATCTTGATTATAACTATTATATTCAAAATGTATATATATATATATATTATATATTTAATGAATATAAGTAGAAATATATATTTGTAATATACATATGTATAATAGTAAATGTAATGTCAATGAAAATAATAATAATGGCAAAAATGATATATCATCTTTATAATAATAATTATTATTATTATAAGTGTCTTTATATTTAGAAATATTCACTTTATTTACAATATAATAATAAGTATATGCTTAACAATAATTATAATAATAATAATAATACTAAAAATATGCAAATAGCTATGACAGGGATCATATTTTTGTTGTTGTTATAAATTATAATCTAGAAAATGGTATGATTAATGTATTTTTAATTTTTTTTATTTTTTTTTTCATATCATCATCATAATTAATCTATATGAATAAATAATACATACATACACATACATACACATACACACACATACACACACATACACACACATACACACACATACACACACATACACACACATACACACACACACACATACACACACATACACACACATACACACACATACACACACATACACACACACACACACACACACACACACATACACACACACATACACACACACATACACACACACATACACACACACATACACACACACATACACACACATATACACACACATACACACACACATACACACACACATACACACACACATACACACACACATACACACACACATACACACACACATACACACACACATACACACACACATACACACACACATACACACACACATACACACACACATACACACACACATACACACACACATACACACAGACATACACACACACATACACACACACATACACACACACATACACACACACATACACACACACATACACACACACAACACACATACACACACACATACACACACACACATACACACACACATACACACACACATACACACACACACATACACACATACACACATACACATACTTCACATTCATCCAAATAAATGCAAATAGTTATATATATATATATATATATAAATATTTTAAGTGGAAAATTTAAATGCATTTTTTAAATGTGTCATTATTTATAACCAAAAAAATAAATAAATAAATAGTCCTAGTTGAATTTAACTTCAAGTATTTTACAACTTGACATTTTATTTTAGTTTATTATATTATCCAAAAATATTGTTAATGTTGTTGTTGTTGAAAACAAATTTAATAATAAAAAATAAAATAAATTTTTTTTGCTTACCTTGATAACAAAATTTGTTGGTTATTTAATTCATCTATTTTTTGATGACATAAGGAATTTGAGAAAAATAAGAGAAAATAAAATTATTATTATTTTTTTGTTTTTTTTGGGAAAAACTTTATAAATGATATTATAAAGTATTTTGTTTTACAGATATATATATTAATAATAAAAATAATAAATTATATTTAAAATATTTCAATTTTATTTTTTAAACACACAATAGTCACCAATAAATAAAATTCATAAAATTCAATGTAATTTTTACACAAACTAATAATATTAAGATAATTATTATACAATTTATATAAACTTTATATTATTTATATCATATATTTTTTTCTAATTTATTTATATTTATTTAATATATTAGAGATAAATATATTAACATTTTATTAAAAATTATATACTGTATATATATATATATATAATTTATTTCTACAAATTTATATTTAAAAATAAAATAAAACACACACATATATAATGTCTATATTATTGATCTAAAAAAATGATGAAAACAACAAAATTGAAAATATAAATATATGGGGTTTTTATATATATATAGAAAGATTCAAATGTCATTTATAGTTACCGTAATAATAATAATAATAATAATTTAAATAAAGTTTTTATCAAATAAAATCAAAAAATAATAACAAACTAACGGCACATCACACACACACACACACTTCCCCAGCAAATAACATACCAGTCTTATAGTTGTTTTCAACAAAATATATACTAATTTTGGTTTTTTTTATTATATTTTCACTATTTATTTAGTACTGTATTATTATTATTATTATCTTTATATATGCAAATTATCCGATGAATACACACACATATATATCAGAGAAAAAAACAACACAAAAAACAACAACAAATTTAGTGATAAAAATTTTTCAGACAAATCTTTTTTATATATATATATAAACTGTATATTCATACTAATAGTAGTCGATATATATATATATACAAAACTAACAGAATATTCTTTAAGAGCTGAAAACACATATACAGAGAGTTAGAGAGAAAGAGCTGAAAGATAGAGTAGTTTTGTAGGACTGAGCTGACAGTGAGTGTATGTGTGTGTGTGTGTCTGTGTGTTTATATAACATCACATACATAGTAGTAGTATTAGTAGTAGTAGTGGTGGTGGTAGTAGTAGTAGTAGTGAGGCAGAGTGAGCTCAAGTAGTTTGTATGCCTGAGTATGTGTGTGTGTGTGAGTGTATGCTTAAAGAGGTTAAGATACGGTATGACTAGAGCACATGTACGCTTTTGAGTGTGTATGTATGTATGTGTATGTATGTATGTGTATGTGTGTGTGTGTGTGTGTGTGTGTGTGTGTGTGTGTGTGTGTGTGTGTGTGTGTGTGTGTGTGTGTGTGTGTGTGTGTGTGTGTGTGTGTGTGTGTGTGTGTGTGTGTGTGTGTGTGTGTGTGTGTGTGTGTGTGTGTGTGTGTGTGTGTGTGTGTGTGTGTGTGTGTGTGTGTGTGTGTGTGTGTGTGTGTGTGTGTGTGTGTGTGTGTGTGTGTGTGTGTGTGTGTGTGTGTGTGTGTGTGTGTGTGTGTGTGATAGAGAGAGAAATCGATTGAGCTAACTGTGCTCTGTCTAAGTGTGTGTGTGTGTGCATTATCATCATCACATTGTAGACAATAAGTAATTGCATAACTTTATAAAAATTTATATATATATATATATATTATATAAATTATAGTACAGTGTATAGTATAATACATTAATTACAAAATAATACTGTACTGTATGAGAGATTTTTCATACTCTAATGTTTATTATTTTGAAAAATAGTTAATTATTTATTTATAATATAAATTATTATATGTAATTTAGATTAAAATTTTGTTTTCAAATAATAATTATAATAAATTACTGTACTTTATATATATATATATATATATATATATATATAATTTTCCATTAGTAATTCATTTTAGTATAATTTGCTCAAAAGCTATTAAACAATTTTTAATTTTTAAACAATTTTTTTTGTTTGAAAATAATTATTAACAGCACTTCTAACTATTAATTTATTTTATTATTTATTAATTTGTTATGTCAATAAAATTTTTAATTACTTATTTTTATGACAATTTGCTAAAAATAATAAATTAATTATTTAAATTTAAATTTATTTAAATTAAGATATAAGTGTGTTTCTAAATAATTTTTCTAAAAATAAACTAAATTATTTAGTTTCATTTGTATATATATATATATTTTAAATTTATATAAATAATTTAAAATTTACAATTTATTAGCATTAATATCATTAGCTATTATAAATATATATATATATATATACAGTAATATAAATTATATGATAGTAACTTTGATTATTATGCTTATAATTTATTCAAAAAACAATTTATTAATAGTATTATATACTAAATATTTAAATTCAAATATTTGTTGTTTGTTTAAAATAAATAATTTTAATTATTAGATAAATTTGTTTTAATCTATTTTTTTGTTTGTTCAATCATCAATTAACAAATTTATTTWATTAATTAATTAATTACAATATAGTTAATAAAAATTTATATAAATATTTATATATATATATAAAAAGCATTATAAATCATATATATATACCTGTATAATCATGCATACAGTATATATATATATATATATAATTAATAAATAACCAGTAAATAACATCATTATCATTATAAAAGTATAATAATAATAATAATAATAACAAATTATAACTATGTTATTATATATACAGTTATAATAATTAATAAATCAAAATTAAAATACATTTTTAAAAAAACTTATCGTTAATTACAAACATATCTCTCTATCTCTCTCTTTAAATATATTTACGGTATATAAAAAAGATATAATAAAAAAAACATCTATTTGACTGCACAGTTAGCCACAGGATCAGTGCTAACCACCAGTACCGCCGCCGCCRCCCCTGTCCTCTAACGGTGTGGGCATCTTGTAGTTATAACCGGGTCCGTGTTGCTCCGGTTCATAGTATATGAGTACAATTGCTACCCATATGTGCAATATTAGTACGTAGACTAGCATTGCCGCCCGGGCTGATGGATAGACACGTAGAAAATTGCCTAAACGTATACTAAACAAAAAAATTAACAATTATTGAAAGGGAACGGTAGCTGTAAACAACAACAACAACAACACGCATACCTAAAGGCATCGATTTGACCGTAAGCTCGTTTCACGCGACGGGTAACATTGCCGTCGTCGGGATAGTCCTCGACCAGTGGCCGAACTCCGCCGCTGCCGCCAATGGCCGCAGAACTGCGATTCACTAGATTGCCGAACGATGGCGAATGGTGTATACCTATTGATACTATCGGTGCCAATAAAAAAAAACAATAGATAAGTATCAGTAATCAGATAACATCACAACTCATAATAATACTAAAAACTAATACCTTCGGCACTCTTATGGCTGGCATTGATGGCATCCCTGAGCCGCTGTTCGCTTCTCTCCAGCTGTAAGGCTARCGAATGCTTCTCCGATGTCAACGATTCGATTATCGTCTGTTTCTGTATGAGATTGTCCGTCAAATTACGGAATCGTTGTTCATTATCACTGCCGCCGCCGCCGGCAGCACCCGAAAGAGCACCGGCACTACGTTTCGATACCAATTGTTTGCGCAGTTTATCAATCTCTACATCCCTGTCCATAATACGCGACTCAAGCGACGACCGAATCTGATGCAAATCGTCCTGAAAATGGCGGCTCTCGTCGCGCGACTCTTTCAACTCTTGTTCGACTTCCAGTCGGACGCGCGACTCGTTGTCCAACTGTTCCGTCAGTAGACCTATACGAGTGGTCAACGCTACCATATCTTCGCCGTACAGCCGATCGTAGGCCTTCTTCAATGTGTCGTACTTTTCGCGAAACTCTTGCAACTCGAGTACCATAGCGTCGCACTGGGACTGTAACAGACGGCGCACATCATCGGCAGCGGCGGCACCGGTAGTATGATCTACACCATCCGCGCTACTAATACTACTACTACTACCGTCAGCGCCATCACTACTGGTAGTTGAAGCCGCTTTGAGCGCCCGTATCAGTTCATCCTTGTCGGCCAACGTTTTGCTGGCCTTTACTTTGAATTCAGAGTAATCTTTGTCCAATTCGTCCATACATTTCGCAGAGTTCTTWAGCCGGGCCTCCAGTTCGCCGTTCGATGCCTTTTCCAGCGATAGGTTGCGCTGTAATAGCGAAATCTCATCGACCTATTGGTTGCCCCCGAAAAAAATTACCGGTAATTGAAATCTACTAATTTTTTTAGACAACAAATAATTTTTTCATTTATTATCGACTGACCAATGATTTCTGATTGTCCTCCAGTCGGCCAATCTGTGCCATTGTCTGTGTCTGTACCGCACGGAGTTCATCCCTTTCCTGTTGTAGCTGTGCCTCCAGTTGACGGATCTGATGACGATAGCCGTCGACACTGTCGTTAACAGTCGAYAGGTTGGCCTCCTGTGCCGTTCGTAACGATTCGTTTAGGTCTTCCAACGTTTCGATTTGATTGAGCCGTTGCTGGAGTTCGGCATCGGTTTCCTGTAGCCGAACCTTCAGGACACCGATTTGCGAGTCTTTGGCGCCCAGACTGGCCTTTAAATAAAAGGGGAGAAAAAAGTTTTTAAAGGTTATCCCTGAGCTAACTAAGTCGGCGGTAATTGTCGCATACATGTAGATCGGCTTCCCGTGATTGTAGTTCGCGAACAGTACCGTCCGATATGTTTAGCTTTTGCTGTAGATTACCGATACGTTTGGCCAGACGTTTGACTTCGGTTTCCAATTCAATGTTACGCCTRTTGAGCGACGATATCTCCAAAGCCAGCGACCGTATGCGGCCYTCGTAGTCKTCGACACCGCCGCCACTGAATGGAACGGTAACGTTGGCGGCCGGCGATGACTGACCACTGGTGGTCAGTGTTTCGGTAACGACGGCCACTGACGACGACGATGTGGTCGATGCCGACGACGGCGTAGTGGACACTGCTATGAGWGCTCCCTCTTCGGGAATGTCGTCACCTGTTGTCGATTAAAGGTTAGACAGACAGTASAGTTAGTCAACTAAAAAAATAGCCGCACTCTGGCCATCACTGGCCAMTCATCCGAACCTTTATTGTTGAGAAAGTCAAACAACGTTTCGTCGTCTATCTGACGGTCGGCCGAAGCGGAAGCTGCGACCGAAGTCGTTGACGCYTTAGACGATCGACTGGATTCGCGCGAMCCGATCGACTCGAAACTCGAGGCCCGTGTGTGTCCACGCGAACTCTGGCCGTTACCGCCACCGACACCCGTAGTGGTGGTKGTGTTGGTGGCCAACGATGCCGACGACGATATCGTAMGTATACTATGAGCAGTGATGGTCGAAAACGAGTCGGTCATGTTATCATCTGACCATTGGTGGCCACCACTATCGAACCGCCRCCGCCKCCGCCACTACGGGAGGTATTGGYGTCCGACGGGCCGGTGGCCAACAACACTTGGCCGGCACTCTTGTCTATGTTGTTCAATAGGTTTTCCGCTCGACCAGCGATGTCCTTAAACCACGACATCGTTGTTGTGTCCACTAATCGGCKGCGGMTAATATCACGGGTGACAGAGACACGTGTCAATCACGTGACCACTGGTTAATCAAAACAATTGAATTGATTTTTTAAATACATTTTTGTTTAATTCAATTGTATTTATYGTATRAATTGATTSATTCAATCAATTGCTTACTAAATAATACTATACTATGTTTTTTAACCCAATGTTTACGTCTATTACTATACATATATACTGTATATTATGTGTTGTGTTGTCAGCCAATAGTATGATATTTATTACACAATAATCTACTGTACATTGAATTAAAAATTGTTTCATAAAGTACGTACATTTATTTATTTTTATTTTTTTGATAATCAACTAGTACATTTTTTACATAGTAATATATATATAAATATATAAATATATTTTGCTTGGTTAATTATATTTAATTAAAATTGTTTTGATATATTAGTAAATTTTATTTTAACTTAAAATTATTATAATAAATAATTTTATAATTTAATAAATAATTTTATAATTTGTAAATTTTGTCTAATTATTTTATTACAGTTTAAAAAAATATTAATTATTATATATATATTGATATAAATARATYAGTATTTATTTGAATAATATATATATATATTGTTTATCTGTTTTATTTAAATTTAATTAAAAAATATTAATATAATTAAATTATTATAAATAAACAAAACAAAAAAATGTGAAATAAAATAAACTAATTTATTTTATTTTAAATAAAGTTAATTTATTTATGGTAATTAAATTTAATAACAACTAAAACTATAATATAATTAAAAAAAAAGTTTATGTTTAGTATTCTATTCAATTTAAATTAATTATTCAAAAAAAAAATTATAATTATTTATTGTTACATAAATAAAATTAGTTTTTATAAATAATATATTTTATTTTATATATATATATATATTATTGCACTCCATACAAATTTATTTATTTAAATATATAGTTATTTATATAAATAAATATTACTATTATTACACAATCGGTTATTACAATACTATTAGTCATTACATTTAATTTAGAAAAATAATACATTATTTTAGAAAATTATTATGTGTTTTAAAAAAATGTGAATTTATATAATTGTTTTTTGTTTTATAGTTATTTGTAATCTATATTTTTATGTTTATTATATAAATATATTTTCAATGTAAACTAAAATATATTTTTGTCTATCGGTAGATAAAATTACAAATAATTTTTTTAAATAAAAAATTATTTAATAAAAGTTAAAGTATAATATTATGGATTGTCATAATATATATTATATAATATATATATGAACGATATGATTGACAATATTGTAATAATATTTAATAGAAAATGAAACAATTTTTTTAAATTATAATTAAATAACAATTATTTAAAAAAAAACAAAACAAAAATTAGTTTTAACAAACTATTATTATTACTATTTAATAATTTTCTACTAATAATAATACAATTATTTCTAATATATAATAGTAAATTAAAAATAACAATTGATATGTTTTATAAATATAATCAAATTATATTTATTTTAATTTTTTATAAATAATAATATTTATTTATTTTTTTAAACATAATATAAAATTTGATTTAAATTTTTAATGACTTTATATTATTTTTTTCGAGTTATTAATTTAACTATATATTAGTCTGATTTATGTTATTCAAAAAAAAACTATTTTATTTTTTTATTGTAGTTAAATATACTTTTATGCTAATTATATTAAAAAAAATAAATCAAATATAATTAAATTAGATAATATTAATTAGCAATAAATCAATCACAAAAAAATTGGTTAATACACTACTCAACAAAAAATAACACACACACACACACACACACACACACACACACACACACACATACATACATACGTACATACAGTACAAACATTATGATATTACTGGCAGTTATTTTAAGTCATATTAAATACTATTTGTGATATATTTATATACTTTTTTTTAAAAAAAAAATTTACGTAAAAAGCACAGGTAGTTATGGGAGATTGAAATTAAATGCGAGAAAATATAATACGGGAATCACTTAGCCGTGAATCCCGTTGTTGTTGTTGTTCAACATCATCGTAATCAATGATATCATTACATCTGTTACCGCTATTTTCATCTGTCATCCATAGACTATAGAGAAAAGCTCCCGAAGCGATACAATGTAACAACTGTACGGCCAGTCGGGCCATTGACGATAGTTGACTGGCCGATGCCCAGGCTAGCATCGGTACGGTCAGCGAAGCTATTGTTGTCTGATCGGTACAGTTATGATAGCGCACCTGTATGACCAGCAACAGGGCCATCATTGTCGTATAGATGGCCGACATTGTCCAATCGGCTCGCAGGGCTCCGATCAGGCCGATCAGCGATACCGACAACGACATAGTAAGCGCCAGTAGCTGATAGTGACCGGGTGCCAGTACCAGTATGACTACCAGTGCCGATACTGCCGACACGGTGGCCAACAGTGCCATTGTATAGCGTACCGGATTGAACCAGGCTATACCTGAACGTTCCGATTCGATGATTATAAACTCGTTAGTGGCCGCCAAACCACTAGTGGCCAACCGACTACTACTACCGATGCCATTTAGTTGGTAACGGTAGCTATTATTATTATGATTACTATGATGATGATGATGATGGGTGTACTTATTGTTGCGTAAATCAACCATTATTTTGTGATTATTATTATTGTTATTATTATTTTGATCCAGATAATTGATTAAAGTAACTTGGCATTTTTTCTATCATATATATATATATTCAATTTACATATAATGGTACTAGATTAATTAATAATATATATATATATATAGTAGATGTGCAATGTCAATTTTCTATATAAAACAAATTAAAAACAAATTTGTTATAATATATAAATTAAGCAATTTTTTTTAATAATAATAATTATTATTACTTAGTTACTAAATGTTAACTAAGTTACTAATTATTAAACAATAATAATAATAATAATAATAATTTTTTAATACTTACTATTACTTTTATTTTATTTGTGTTGTTGTTGAATGTAGAAAATTTGAAAAATAATTTTTTTTTTAAATATTTATTTATTATAATAAATATTATTACACACAATTGGATTTTTCACATTAGATGAAAATATACTGTATATGAAAATATTATCTTATTTGCAAAAATATATATATACTATATATATATAATTTAAATTTATGCTATTTTGTTATTCAATTATATTTGTTTGTAATATATATTTTGTTTGTACGATATATCTGATCATCAAATCACACATCAAATTAATTAAATTTGTTTCAACATAAATATATTGTTTTATATATAATATATATATTATTTTCGCACTACAATATCACTGAATAAATAAAATATTTTCTATATATATATATATATATCTAAGCAATGAAAAAATATTATGATTTACTCACTCTCTCTCTCTCTCTCTCTATATATATATATATAAATAATAAAAACATATTTTTATGTTTGATTTGTGTGCTAACTATTTCATTGTGTTGTCTATGTGTGTGTTTAGTACGTGTGAATGCTATGGTGAGAGAGAGAGAGAGAGCACCGGGAGGAACGGTAGAAAATAGAACACAGCAACAACAGCAGCACAACATAACTGTGCAATTATTGTGGGAAACCATTGATATATTGATTTTTTTCTCTCTTGCAGTCAATGTATTTGAACCTTTGGTTATATAGTTTACATATAATTGTTATGTTATGTTATATGTATGTCGACTATCTCTCTCTCTCTCTCTCTCTCTCTCTCTCTCTCTCTCTCCGGGTATCGGATTTATTATGAATATCACAATCAAATAGCGCTCAATTATGTAATAAGCACCGGTATGTCTGTGTGTATGTGGCTATTATGTGTAATACTGTATACTCTCTATTAATGTTAACAATAGATATATTTTTGCAGCAATTCATTATACAGTAGTAACTATAATTGAATATGACTTTTACATACTGTATATATAAACTGTACTAAATATTGTTAACTAATATATTGTATTCACTGGTATTTTGTTGTTATTAATAGAGAGTATTGAATGAAAGAAAATAAAATATTTAACAATAATTTTAGAGAAAAAAAAATGACAAAAATAATGGTTCAAAAATAAAAAATATCAAACAATTTTTGACCGACAATAGAGTACTTGAATAAAACTAATTATAAGTTTCTATAAAAAAACTAATTTTATATCAGAAATAACCATTTTTTCCAAATAATTAAATTTATAAACTTTTTTTTAACAATAATTTTCTATTATTGAAATCAAATTTTTTTTTCAATTATTAAGAAGCTATCAGCTTTTATATTAGTTAAAAAAATATTTGTATTTTATTAGTAAATTTTTACATCTAAAAAAATTAGTTACATAAATAATTATTAAATACATAGTTTGTATATATATAGTTAAACTCAAAAGATTTTTATTAATTTATTAAATTTTTTATATCAACAATAATAGAAAATTTTAATATAAAATTTTATGATAATGCATACTCTAGATAAATAATAATAATAATATTATTATTTTAAATTATATGATTTTTTTTAGTTTTACATTAAATTTTTAGCGAAAATTTATGCACCAATATGAAATATCTAAAATATTTAATGGTAAGCTAGGTCCCAGTTTAAAATAAAATACAAAAAAATTAATATTATTTAATAAATAATTGTAATAAATTTCCTTTAAAACATACCTTTCCCAGCACTGGCAGTGTCATAACTATTAGGCCGCCGACAGTAATACCAAATCGGTTACTAGTGCTGGCCAAACGTTCATAGTAGACGATAAGTTTCCACTTTAGACGACTGTCCTCTGTA